TAACACTTTTATCTTTTTGATATAATTTAAACAATGTTTTAACAAGACTTACTGTTTCCGGAATAACTGTAATATATTCTTATATATGAAACAATAATCTCATCGATTGCAGTATGTAAGTCTTGAATTGATATTTAATTTGTTTTCCTTGCACCGTCGAACGATTCGATCGCAACTCTTCCTTCTAATATTTTGCATACATCGTGAACATGGCATAATTTTCAGATCCTTTTCGATCGCACATTCACATTTAAAACGGGTACCTTCAATTATCCGCGCGTCGCGCTCGGATGGAATCGAATCACTGTAAACGAGCCAATGCTACGTTTCCTACATTGTTGTCACGGATTCGGGTTTCATAATTAGCGGACATGTTATCTCCGGTTGTTCGCAATTAAGTGCAGCCCGCAAAACGAGCGCGATGCGCGTTTAACGCGATCTAAAAACAAAATTCGCATAACAAGACGATTGTTTTTCGGCTCGATCGTTTCCCCTTCCCTCCCTTTCAATTCTCACCACTCTGAATTGACGAAGTTGTCTCCAACCGAGAGCACGACACGAACATGCGGAGACCCGCGGATAAACGGAGATATTTCGTCAATTTCAACGTCCGAAAGCGGCATTGCTGATCATTCGCTCGACATGCGTCGCTTCTCAGCCCGAAGTTGTTCAATCACTCCGAATCAAACCTAAGGCGACGAACTACTGATAAGATAAATGCATACATGAAAATTAAAGTCCATCGTCAGATCCAGGATTGTGCCGTAGATTTTGAGATTACGTCTACATGGATCATTTACGTATTGTCTATATGATGTTTTTATACGGACTTTCTTCATGCTGACTAGCGCTCGGAATTATTTGCACTTTCGAAGTGATATGAAAGATGTACATGCTATTAGTATACAAGTGTTCTCATTATCAAGATTCTTCGAGCTTTTAACAAAAGCAAAATAAGAAACAAGCTTACGAAATGTAAAAAGAAAGAGCTATTCTATAACGGTTCATATATTACTCGTTTCATAGATAACTTATTATATATTATTATATATATGTTACGTTGTTTACGCGTAAACGTAAACTATTCCCGAGTCGAAATTTTGGTGTCAAAATAGATTGTCAAAGGTAGTATTAAAATCCAGTCTGCAGAATTAAAGGTTCGAAAGAGGAGTTAAAATGTGTATTATCAAAACAGATTTTTTAGTCTACAGGCCGTCTAAATCGGTGCAAATTAACATTAAGAACGTCAAAATTCCGACTCGGGATATATTTAACGCGCGAACGGCCAACCCTGGTCAAATCGACACGTCGTTCTCGCGTCGTGGAGCGATCGCGGAACGTCCGGATAAGGTGCGCGGCGCTACGTAAATCTTCACGCCGACTCGGTCCCTCGGCTTTTTCATTGTCGGCGCAGTTTCTGAATATGCATGAGGAGCGGCGCGATAGCACGCGGGCGGCCGTGCCATAAACTTCGCGTAAGCCGTCGAAATCTCCGGGCGCGCTTCTCGCTCAACTTCGTCGTCGTCTCGTCGTCGTTCGCGCGAAGCCGCGTAACCCACCGCGACCTGAAAACGGAAGAAACGAAACGGACGGACAAAAGAACGCGTTCACCGTTCGTCGTCCTTTCTCTCTCCTCGCTCCGTAGTTTTCAGTCGACGCGAACAAAAGCGCCTTCGTGCTTTCCCGACCAAGTGTAAATCGGATCTTAATAAGACCGTCGTGCGAGCGCGCGCGCTCGAGAGAGAGAGAGAGGAAGGACGTCGACGTCGACGATGTGGATGTTGCACGACGCGTTCTTCGGGTTCCATTATCATACGGCACTGTGTCCCACCGACTGTGTTCACGGCTGTGACACAGATTTCCACGACAGACGTCGAGCGAGAACACCGTGGCCGTAGAGCCGACGCCTGGCATGACACAGTAGCGGGGGGTTAACGCACTTTAGAGGCTATGGGTGTTAATTAATTTTGCGGTTTCCTACTTTCTTACTTCCTCGGATGCTGCGAAAATTGAGAATCAGTCAAATGCTCTCCCGGAGAAGCGCACTGAATACCATTATTCGGAGTAACTGATGAAAGATAGATAATCGAGTCGGCTGTGAGGTCTCGAGTCGCCGCGGCTCGCATGTTTCATCCGGCATTGTCACGATAAAAAAACACCGTCGAACACCGTGATGTCGAATGTTGTGGCTATGATGGATGTCGAGTCAGCGTGAGCACCACGAGCAGGTGTTTTACCGTCTGTGTGGCCAACGATGTACAGCCCAAAATCGATGAAGATTCCAACGCAGACTAGTTTGATTCATCTCTTCAAACTGTAAAGGAGAGCCGTCAAAACCGATATATCATTTTGTTTTTGGGCTCTAAGGTCTCACTGAAGGTGTAAAATTACAATTTACGCGTATGCATGCATACCAGGAACACTTCTCTACCAGCAACAATTCTCAAAATATGTGGTAGTTTTATGAAAATTCTTACATATTTTATCACCATATTTCACCACCATCGAGTCAATTATGTAATGTCTCCAATTCCTGTGTTTATTATCGAAGAAATGTTTGTGAATTGCAGATTTCCTTCTATTTAAATGTAAATATGCAAATTGTGTCTTAAAGTTTACAATCAAATAACAATTATAAGGCGAATGAGAGCCAAGATACGGATGTTGTGAAGAGTAATGAAATCTTACAAATATCGTATGAAATTTATCGAACGTTTCGCTCCCGAAAATTTGGACCATCTTCAGCTAACCTCTTCCGTTTGTTTCGACCTCTTTCGTTTATTTTCTCACTAAAAACATTCGTCGTCGCCTCTTACTGGTTTCACATATTTTTTATAATCGAAGAACGACTGTACAAAGTAAGTTGAACGTGACAGTAAACGTCAAAACAGATACGATGAATTGTCATATGCGATTACGATCGCAATCGGCCGAGACACGAAAAAATAAGTAAGACGAAGACCGGGCCATCGCGTCTCGCTAAGTGAGTCATTATCACGGGAACGGGACGCGCCGACGACGACGTTGTCACGCCGAAAAGCGGGAACTTTACTTTCATTAATTAACTCAACCGCTGTTTCGTAATCGCGCGGGGAAATCGTTAAACTGGGACAGCGTGTAACGAGCAAGCCCGGAGAGTTTCGGGGTGGTCGCCGTTTAACCCTTTCGTTAGCAATGGCGGGCCATAGCAGCCCCTCCGCAAACTGTTCACTTTGTAGAAACGGCTATGGCAGTTCCACGGCAACTGACATCTCTATGCCTTTCACGATTTCCGGATGCGGTAATTGTCGCGGAACACCGTCCATGCTCCGCCACGAGGTTATAAATACAAGATGTCCCGGCGAGAGCCCAGTCGGCTCTCTGTCTTTTCGCAAAAATCTCGAGGGAGAAATTAGAGACAGCGAGATGAGGTTTATTCGGATTTAAGCGGGTGATGTAAAATTTGGACGTTTAATTGCGCGCTCGGTAGTAGTGATAGTTTAACTCGCGTTTGAAGACCCTTCGTTTTAACGACGACTCCGGGATTCATCTCTGTATTTCAATTAAGGAATAATTGACCTCACATCCGCCGGGACGGCTTTCATTTTATTCGTCACCGGGTAACAATTGTAACTATTCGCGCAATGAGAGACGCTCCCAAGACCTTCGGCGACGCTCAACGGCGATAATTATACTTCTCGAGGTTCGCTCACATCCGGTTGCGATCACGAATGTCGCTTCGATGATATTTCACATTTTCTTCCCACCCTGTCTACCGTTGAACGGGTAATCGCGAAGCTGGGTGGGTGCGCATCATTCCGCATATTTCCACGATCGATTAGACTTTTACGCTCGTCAATTAAAAACCACGCCGTACACCTGCCGGGGTCGTCAACCGTAGGTTTCATTAACGTGTCCGTGCTATAGTACGCCGAAGATATTCGTGCCTGTTCTCGGGCCGGGCAATAAACTAGCGGCACGTTATACGAGGCACCTTAGCGCCGCCGCTGCCGTCGTCGTCGTGCTCGTCGTCTTCGTCGTCGTGGCACGATATATCCCGTAAGCGGATATGTCGTGCGCAAGCCCGAGAGATCCTGGACGATGGATGGCCGCGCCGATATGTGCGCCGACCCAACGCCGACCGGCAATAAAGAGCGCGAAATCGTGTCCCAGCCGCGTTATTAATGCGGCGAGCTATCGCGCTCGAGCCTCGCTCGCAAGTTCCATCTCTCTTCCATTCCTCGCTTCGGGGCCCTCTTCCTGGCCGTGCGATTTATTGACCCTTTAAATCGGGCCGCGAGGACCTCTCGCGGCGCCCTTAACCCTTCCCTCCTGTTCTTCCCCAGGTGTCGGCCGCGTAGGTGTCGGGCCGAGGGAAGGTCCGCCAAAAAAATCCTCTCGCGCTATTTTCGGCGACGGATTTGATTGGGTACTTACCATTTAGCGACACAAGCGTTATCTTGTCTTTGCTATTGAATATGAAACAAAGACGAATACTTTAGTATTTTGTATGCGTCCCCTTACGCCGATGTAATAAAAAAACGTGATTAATTTAATTATTGAAAAACGAAGCGAGTCTTATAAATGATAAGCGATCTAAAAAGCACTCAATTGGTGTAAATGAAAATTTAAAACGTTGCAACAAAGACAGCGACTACCAGAAGAATAAACGATAACATATGAGAAAAATACAAGAAAATGAGCGATAAAGAAGTAGTAAAGTAACGATAAAAATTCTTGTTGATATTTTCTTGGTTATTTTTGTAACAATCTGCTGTAAAGGGTCAATTTACGAGGATATAAATATATATTTATAACAGACTGATGCGATAATACAACGTTAATTTCAACAAGAACTATTGTTAGCTTTAAACAGTCACATTATTTAAGTGGTGCCCATATATTCTGTGTGTTTAAACTTTAAGGGGTTACACCACAGTAGAGAGCGAAAATTTAACGTTTCATTGCGATTTTTTTTTAAGTGGAAGGAAAAGTAAAAGAGTAGTTCTTTTTAAGGATGTTGTTAAGCATGTTTTGAAGTTTTAAAAAAAATTTTGTTTATTAAAAAATATTACAAAATGGCTGCCCAACAGCCGTTTCTGCGGAACGGTTTTTTTTGGAGGGGCTCCGCGGCACGCAGTAGAAGTGCAGCAAAAATTAATCTGGAACAAAATAAAAAATTTTTTCTTAAACTACATTAGTATAGCTATAGAAATACGTAGGGGATTTTGAATATATTCATTTTTGTTAAATTGGCGAGCATTTGAAAAAAAAAGTGCATTTTTCTACCAAAAAACGGGCACTTATTTGTACCTAAAAAATCGAAATATTAACTTATCGAAAATCGGCTACGTATTTCTATGCGGAATGTTGTTTTAAAGATGTGATATTAATTTGGAGTGAAAAAATAGAAAATTGTTTGAGTTATGCTGCGTGCCGATTTGAAAAAACGTGTTTCGAGAAAAACGCGTTTAAAGTTTTGACTCGTGTTTCAAACATAATAAAATAAAAATTTGGATTATTAAAAATTTTTTACCTTTAATCTGCTATTCCAGCACCGTAAAGCTGACCTTCCAGGTTGCTAAACTCCTCCTCGTTTTCTTTCCTGGACGCTTTTATGCTGGAGCGAGCCTCTTTCGCTGCGTCCGTCAAAGAGCGGTCCGCGCGTTGTATTCGAGCAGCGTCCGTCTCTAAGCAAAAGTTGTAGGATTGTGGTCCAATGTTCATGTCCATCACTTTCATTATTCTTAAAACGTTTATCAGTCCATCATTAAAATTACAAACAGCAATGTCACTTGCTATTTGTAATATTTTCTTTCCGCTTGAATAATTTTTAGGAGCCAAGTGCCAGACTGTAGAATTAAAACTTTCGTTGCTGTTCTGCGTATAGCCTCCCAAGCAACGATTCAGCAACTCGTCACGGCTCAAATCCTCGTAGATTGGTCTGATGGCTTCAAAAACTTCGTTCGATAGTGCCGGCTTATGATGAAAGGAGTCTAAGGAACCCGTTGCTTGCGCCTTCTTCCATTCGCACCAAGACTCTGAGCATTTTTCCATTTTTCCTATTTGAGCCTTTATGGCTTGCATACTCTTTCTTTCACTCATTGTAACTCACATAAATGTCAAGGCTACAAATAACGTGTGAAAAATTAGCACTGCAAAAGAAAATCGTGATTTCGAATAACTTCCACGCAAAATTTACGTCTCCTCTCAACATCAAAGGACGCTGTACTAACGTACTTTGTGTTCAAAATGCTTGAAAATGTTTCTAACGACATCTATTAGTGTATTAGAGAAGTTAGAAATCGAATGGTAAGACATAATGCTGTACCCGACAAGCAGGTGTCGTATTTACCGCAGGTAGTCGTTTCGGAGCAGTCGGGAGGGGTCGAGAAAGAGCTCGAAATTTCAATGAAAACGATTTCTGGCAGATATAAAACCGTTTGTCTCTTATTCTAGAGGGTTCAAAGGATTTTTTAAGCCAATAAAAAAAGAATCGATTTTTTGAAATTTCTACTGTGGTGTAACCCCTTAAGTTGAAATGCAATAATGATTAAAATTTATTTTATCACTTTCAGCGTTTATATTTACTGCGTAATTTGCAAGCTATGTATTTATTGTCCAAATATGTCAAGAAATATTTTTAAAAATATGGGTTTTCAATATCTAAAAATGATTATTTTATATTTCAAACATGTCTTCCCTCAACACACGGCTTATAAATATTTATAAATAAAAATGAAAAGTTTTGTTTGCACATAAAACAGGAATAAATTAAAATATAGGTCAAATTGACCGCCGCGCGATCGCTTACGGCAAAGAAGTCCACTTACGAGTTAAGCGGAACCGAGCATGTTCCTCGGAAAACGTGATTATCGCGAAAAATATAATTCTCGCGTCCTTCCGACGGCGGATGTAATTCTCGATAAAATCCGAAGTATCGTCAGCAGCGGTGCGAGCAGCGTAAGCGGAAAAGTAAGTGTTTTCCTCGAAAAATATAATTATCTCCGCCATATGTCGCCGGGGTTTAAGCTTTCCGGATGCTTCTCACTGCGCAAGTGGCCGTTGATTACTCGTTATCGCGCGATGCGTGAGGTGAATAAGATTCTCCGATCGGCCTTTCTTCACCGTGCGCGCTTTCATGTCGCAGGCGTCGGCGCACTCGAGAATCGGCGTATGTGTTAATAACTTATTCACTCGCGAGCCTGTTTATATTCCGCGAGATCACGTCGAGAGACGAAAATACGGGCGGGGAGACCGGCTCCGAGAGACCGAGACGCACGTGGAGATTGACGTCTCGGCGGGCGCGCGTATAGATCTCTCTCTTTCTCCCTCGCTCACTCATTCGGACACGCCTCGACGCTAACGATATCGACTCTACCCGCCCGTTAAGCTCGAAACTTCAGTTAGCGGAGTTTCATGCGGCCGACGGATTCGATAATAAAAGCTAGCAAGCCGACGTTTACGACTGCATGCGACTACTAGCACCTCGCCTGTATTTCCACGGTGTAATACGTACGTATCACTTACGCCGACAGTTACGCCTTTATTTACGACGACGACGTCGGCGGCGGTGGCGGCGGTGACGTAGCCGCGGTCGCGATAAAAATCGATGCGCATCGACATGGCGCGGCGCAACCCGCGTGATTTTGCGCTCGGCTCGATTTCTTATTAAGATACCGGGGCTGAACCTATGGACAGCCTCGACACGGATACGTCCCGTAGATAAGGATCGGCCTCTCCACAATGGTCGCCCGACAGAAACGAGCTTCTGCTGTCGTCGCATACAAAGAGGCGCTTTATGAATGAGCACCTGCAGCTGCGCGCCGACGCCGCGTTCCGATAACGTGTCGCTGCTTGATTAACCTTTTACGGGGTATACCACTTGTTACGGCAAAAATATCGCGGCTCGCGGGAATGTCCGCGTGCGAGTAATTTGACTGTGAAATTTACCTCCCCTCTCTCTCTCTCTCTCTCCCGGCCTTTCGTTTTCGTTTGTCGCGGACAGCGAAAAAGAATTCGCGGGAGCCGCGAGCACGATTTTCTCTCTCGATTCGCGCGTCTCGGAGCGAAAGAGACGGCGAGCTCGTCAGGTTCAGTTGCGACGAGACTTCGCTTTTGCCGGTACAAAAGTTACTTTTACGAGAGTTATCTGGGGTTTTTTTCCCGTCTCGAGTAACCCGTTAAACCGCGAATACGTCGGAAGGATCGCGGCGACGCGTACGAATCGGACACCCTGTACATGCGTAAACCTCCGGCTCGCGGCTCTATTCAACCGGCGGATACATGTCGCATTAATTATATCTCTGTCAATGCGCCGTTGGACCGAAGCAGCGTGTCAGTAACCACAGCCGGCCATTGTTCGTCGGGCTAGTTGGATACCTGGCGGTGGCCACCGCGGGAATTGTTGCGCTTATTAGCTTCGAAGTGCCTGGGTCGACCGGCGTCGTTGAAGGTATAATATCGCGGCGCGCGGATATAGACACGCGCTCGTCCGCCAAATAAAACATCCGATCGCGGATAAAAGGTACTTCGTCCGTGACGCATTTAAATGCGAAATTACGAGCGCGACATTACGCGAGAATTTATAGCTGTTTTATGCGCGGTAACCGTCGCGTTTTTCTCACGCGTTCCTCAAAGAATTCCGAATTTCCCCACCGAGAGGCATCGCTCTTCAAGATAGTTGTATCGCGGAGTGCCGTATTTCCAGTGGCGCATCAAGGGGCCATTCATACATTTTGTATTTATCAAAATTACATTTCTATGTATTTATTTCACTGCCTAAATTATCATTTGAAATGAAGTTGAGATAAACATGTATAGGGTATTCGACTCAAGGTGGACCATCCGTCGCATATTTGTAGTTTAAGTCAACGTGAACGAAATACAGCTGTTGTACTTAGCGACAGGTTCAAAGATCGAGGTTCAATCTACTGATGCCTGTCGCTGAGTACAACAGCTGTTATGTATGTCGCAAACCCAAGTGTGTTATTTTTACACGCATAAACGTCTGAAAATGACACATTTGATTGAAGTTCTTTTCTTGCCGTTTTACACTATGTTGTTTAAAACGTTTAATCGTGTTAAATTATAAGTTAGCGTGTCCGGTCGTGTTAAATGACATGATTTAAAACGGCAAGAAATATGTAAGAAAAGCCTCAGTTTTTGTATAATATCATTATATTTAGTCCTTAATATCACAGTAATTTTTCATTAAAATCCTAAATATAATTTTAAAAAAGTTAAAAATTACCCTCAAGAATATCCCAGCTTCCGAATGTTCAATCTACCTATAATTGTCAATAATTGAGGCATATTTAAATTTATATATAATGCAAGTTTCAACGAATTTTCAAAAAACTCATTTTGTGCTAGTGTTATTACCTTAAGCGATAACCGGCCGAAACTTGCAGAGATTAGCCAGTGCAGCTCGAGGATGGCGGTAACAATGTTATTACTTTCGAGTTTATTGTCGTTCGGGGAATTCGGATTTAGCCGATTCGATTGACCTTAAGGGCAATCGATACGGTCCGCCGATAATTAATCACAATTAGTGGTATGCACGATGCGCCGAGCAAACTGGTCGATGCGTCGCATGCGCCGTGAATGATACGTTTGATCATTTAACGCAGCTCATATCTGGGCCGCTAATTTCATCGAAGAATTGCGGAAGGGGGGAGGGGAGGTACGTATCGCACCATAAAATCATTTGAAAGAAGAAACGTTACAGACTCGGAGAATAAATAGTCCTTCACCGAAAATACTTCCGTTTCCACCGATACACCAATTGAATCGGCTTTACGAATCAGATCGTATTTCTGTCGCATCTCTGGCACTGCAAGTCTCTTAAATCCGAATTGTATCGAAAAATCGATAATCCATTCCCATGAATACACGATTGTTTTGGAATTTAAGAGTGAAGTCACAACTGCTCCGTGTGTGTATGTGTGTGTGTATGTGTATGTGGTGTGTACGTCACGCGACATCCACGTTCGTTCGACGTGGACACACACACACACAAATACATAGTACAAAGTTCGTAGCCGAGCCCGAGGTTACCTCCGCTTCCGCGTTCCGAAGCCGGAGTTTCCCGGCGTCGCGTAATAATTGAAAATCGGCCCGGCCGGCGCAATATTTTCCATAGCGCGGCTCGCCGGTCGTTCGTCCGTTCGTTCGTTCGTTCGGTCGGTCGGTCGGTCTTTTGTAGCGGCGCGCTAAAAAGTGCGCGACGCAGGAAGATGAAAGCCGGGAAAAAAGAACGCGCGGCACGACCGTGGGAGAGCAGGACGAGGAAGGATAAAGGGTGGCAGGGCGGGGGGAGTGAACCGCGGATAAAGAGACGCGCGCGAGAGGAGAAGGAGGAGGATGACCGCGAATAAAGAGGTGGAGGTGGCGGAGAGGGTGAGGACCGGTCGAGGGGGNGGGGGGGGGACGCGCTCGTTCGCGCGCGCGCACGGGCTGCGCTCGGGCTCTCTTCACTTTTCATCCAATATTCAACAAAGGTTCATTCAATTCATCCTTACACGCTGGCGCATGAAACACCGCGCGACGTATGCAAATGGCTGGTGACAAATGATCTTGTTATTCCCGTCGCTCCTCTCGCGCTCCCGGCCGCCGTGTCCGTTCAGGCATTATACGATGTCGTGCGTCCCTTTGAACCCCGGGCGCCGGCATTTCCCCTGTGCGCTCGTCGTCGTCGACGACGCTCGATGCATTCGCGCTCGCGCGTCGCGTTCCGCGCGTTCGAGCGTGAGCCACGCTCGCGAGACCGGAGCGAATAGAGCGAAGACGAACGGGACTCTCGTCGATTCGCTTTGGACGCTCAATGAGGATCCCCCCCGGTGACAGAACCCGCAGGTAATCAACCGTTCCGATTTTCGGCTCTCAGAGACGTCCCGAGGGAACCCTGGGTGAAACGCTATTTGTTTCGATTTTTCGCTTTACGAGAAATAAATAATACAAAATATAATAATAAATCGTACTAAAATTCATTAACCTTCCTTTGGCACGTTTTTTCATTTCTCGGTTAATTTGTGATTTAAGCTTGACCTGGTGATAACGTAAAAATTATGT